CTCAGACAACTCTATCCAATCCTTAACAAGTCCTCCTCCATCAACATTAACCTAGCACTTACAATCTATTAAACACTCCTACGCCCAATAATAACGTACGCAGCCCCGGCATGGGGACACGCGGCCAAAACTCACGTCAGTAAGCTCCAAGTTTTTCAGAACAAGGTGCTCAGAATTATAACGAAACTCCCAAGGGTAACGGCAATCGAAATTTTACATGAGCAAACTGGCATGGAGACATTCTGAAACCATGTCAGGGAGCTACCAAAAAAATTTTACTCTAAAAGTCAAATAAGTGAGAACTTCCAAATCAGGTAATTAGGTCAATATGACCCCACTTATGACAAATACAAGCAACCGCGGGCCCTACTAAGGGACTGACCCTTCACATACCCTACTAACTGCAAGTATTTAAACAAACTAAAGTCTTTTTTGGGCGACATTGTACTCATTTTAGCCAGCCGTTCATCGGAGGACGCTCCAGCGGAACCCCTGCCATGGACCAGACCACGAACCCAACAGCTGAAGAAGACCGTGGAAACACGGATGACCTGCATTCATAATATTATGTTGTATTATTGCACCGCATGAACCTGCAGAGGCGTTCGCCTCTGGGATTTCTCTCATCCATCGCAAAAAAAGCAAGGAGATTATGTCGAAAAATGATGTATTTGTCTTTTCTAAATTTGATTAAAATAAATCCTACAGCCACAGTGCGGATAATTTTTGACTCAGACCCATGACTATTGTGACCTCACGACTTCGAATAGATAATGAGGTCTTTCCCATATGTTGTTAAGAAATCTTCTATTGCTTCGTCTTCTGCACTTTGTGTTGGCGCATAGACTTGAAATGTATTTATGGTAGCCGACTTTGCCTCAATTATTCGGTCGTTCACTGGGTTGTAGCCATTGACATATTTATTTAAAATATTAGGAATCACAATAGCGACTCCGTTGCGGCTATATTTCAGCGCAAAATGAGAAATAAACTCAGTGATGTTCTCACCGATTTTTGCATTAAAGTCACCCATGACTATTGTGACCTCACGATTTGGAATAGATGATAAGGTGTTTTCCAGATGTTGTTAAAAAAGTCTTCTATTGCTTCGTCTTTTGCATTTGATGTTGGCGCATACTTGCAATATATTTATGGTAGCCGGCTTTGCCTCAATGTTAACAGCTATTACTCGGTCGTTCACTGGATTGCAGCCTTTGACGTATTAATTTGTTGGAGCCATTAAAGCCATAAGGGCCATGCCTTCAACTTATCGACACCAGGCCGAAAAAAGAGTCAGTCGCCTTTCGCCCTGGCTCGATACTGATCCCGCCGCTGTCCAACATCAGATGCAATGTCCCAACTAACTAGGGACGTGGACGTTGACACCAATGTTTCGTCGCGGTCCTGAGTAATTAACCTGCACTATTAACTCTTAGCTCACTCAGCTGCTTCTCAGATTATCCGAGGCACCTCAGTAAACCCCTTACTCTCGTTTGTTATCTGGGGTTTTCACCCAATCTTCAAGTGAGTTACTCAGCTTAACAGGATGGACCACGTGAAGATGAGAGTCAGAGTTGAAGTTAGAGGCCAGTGTATTTCTCTGACCCGTGTCTGGCATTAAACGGAGACATTATTTTATGCTCTCAGTAATGGAATAATTTGTTTTAGTCACGTGATATAAGGACAAAGGACGGAGAATTTGAACGCAAGAACGCCAACAAATCCACACCCCGACAACTTGTTGATTCGTTTGATTTGTTGTTGGAAGTGAAAGCTGACCACTTGCGAACTAGCTTTAAGTTTGGGGTAGATTCAGTATAAATGCACTCAAGGTTCCTGATTAATACCTCGAGATAAAATTTGTGCATATTAACATGTGAAAATCATAAGAAACTAGGACCGTTTTAAAGTTGCTTTTAATATGGTTGGAAGGTAAAAGGACTTAAGTGCCGTAATGCAGAAGCTGAAACTTTCTACATTCCTCCCCCATCTCTAAAGAAATTAAAATCAGTTTTATCTGGGAACTTTCATTCTGTTCGACGAAGGACCAGAAATAGAAAACAATATTGGCCATTTGAATACGTTATTTCTCGGACGTCAAATAAATATATGTCGGTCTATTAAGACTGTATTTCATGTCGTTTAATTAATAAACACGTACACATGGTGGCGAACTTTTATTTCGAAACGTGTTGTATAAATTCAAGTTTAAATCATCGAGGTTAGTTACCAGGGCACGCCTGCTAATTATTCATTCATTAAAGTACTTAAAAGTACCTTACAAAATACCGTAAATAAATAAATACATCTGTTAGTTAAAACCATCGTCTGTTTCTTCCTGGCATTTGAAGAGGTTGGTACTTCACCAGGGACATGGCACAATTACACGGTATATCGGGGCAACTCAGCCAAATGTATTTTCGATTTTTTTTAAAAAGTATCACACGTAGATCAGAAATCAATACAAAATTCTCAGTGTGCTGCCTTCGTAATGACGTTTTTCTAAACGTTGTTCATGAAGAAAAATATTTAATCTTCCCTAATATCATGATGACGGTTTCGTAACTCGAAACATGTCGCCACAAGTGGATTCATTTAATACAAGACGCAAGGTGAAACTGCTGTGTGTTAATGAATGGTAATATTTTAGATAAAATTAAACGCCTGTAAAATAATTCATTTCAATAAGATTTCTTGAGCAGAAAATAAGGAGGAGTAATAAGTTATTGTTATTTATAAAAGCGAAATACACTCTCTTTAGCATGAGTAGGATACTATTCAGAATATTATGTTAAATCTATAAAATAATGCTTAAAATCTTTGTTTCACAATGTAACTATATGGGCAATGTGTTCAATCCAATCCAATGCCTGATTATATCAAGCATCGTGATCAGTTGATTGGCATTCATTCTTTTTATGCCGAAGAATATGAGCATGAAACTTGGCTCAGAGACCCCCGTTTATGATCGCTTTGTCCTCATTTCCCTCAGTTCCTTAAGACAATCAGGGGATTATACCTAAAGTTAGGCCACGACCACTTCCCTCCGCATCCTTTGCAAGTGAATCATTTATTCTTCCTGCCATTCGACAAAATTCTTCTTCGATTCCAGCCCTGGGGTCGTTGTGAACCTTGCCTTTCAGTGCATTTTCCCTCCATACTTGGTGGTCCTTAGTCCCTTTATACAAATTTCTTTTCCCACGGTTCTCGAATCCTCTTCAGACTCATCTCTACGTCTCTTGCGTGGTCTATCGCGAATTCCTTCTTACATATGTCCACGCCATCTGTCAGAGTTTTTATAAATTTCACAATATATTACATTCTCTATCTCCTTATGAGTTTTTTCGAGGTTTCTCCATCTCTTATGGGACCTCGCAGACAAATTGATGGAGGAGAAATTTTAAGTTAACTTAAAGTGTTCGCTCTGGTTGTAATCAACCGCAAAATCTATTGATTTTCTCAATCTAAGATTCTTTTGCGTTTCGTTGTTATGCCACTTCGCATAGTTTTTTCTCTTTCAAGTAATATGAATATCGTGTGTGTTTTGCATTCAGAAAAAGAAGCAAAACGTTTCTCCTCCTTTTTTTGCATTTCTTCTCCATCATTTTAATGCTTAAAATTACATCTAATATCAGTCGTACACGATCAGAATCTCAGTGTCTAACAACAGGGGAACTGAGTGGGTGGGAGAAACACGGGACCCGAATTATCTTTTAATTTGAAACATTAAAAGTGAAAACAAATTTTTTCGCACTGCCATCTCTGGTGACATCATAGAAACAGATGGCGGTTCCTTTGTGGCAAAGAAAAATCTCAACTCCCTCTTCTATGTTTTATGGTTAACAGATTGCCCAGAAAGTGTAGCTTTGTGTTCTTGTTACTTAATTTGCAAGTCTCACTGACAGGTACAGAAAACATGAGATTCACGAATGAATGCGTATGGTTAACAGATTGCCCAGAAAGTGTAGCTTTGTGTTCTTGTTACTTAATTTGCAAGTCTGCTCTTCTGAATCTGCAGCCTTGTAACACAATGGACTCGGGCTGGAAGAAATAATGTGTTATGTTAACCACGTCTTGGTTAATAGCACTTTTTAGTGCTGTATTGTCCAGGTACCAGGCAGTTAGACGGCATAAAGTCTTCTTTCAGGCCAGGTTTATGACCTGTTAAGCTGATTCTGTATTTGATTTTATCTCGCAAAATGCCTTGAGTTCAACATTTGATTACAGCTGTCTCGTTTTTCTATTACTCTGTATGTATGGTAACAAAATTCAAGTACCTTGTTTTGTGTATTTTGTGGTAATATTCGCACTTATTTATTAAAATACTTAAAAGTACCTTACAAAATAACGTGAGTAAATAAATACATCTGTTACCTGAAAACATCGTCTGTTTCTTCACGGCATTTGAAAAGGTTGGTACTTGCCCAGGCACATGGAACAATTACCATCAAAGTGGAGGGAGAGGTTATGACTACTTTAAAACGCTGTCAAATGACACGCAACTCAGCCAAATGTAGAGTCGATTTTTTTTTTAAAATATCACACGGAGTTCAGAAATCGATACAAAATTCTCAGTGTGTTGCCTTCATAATGACGTTTTTGTAAACGATGTTCATGAAGCAAGAACATTTAATCATGACGGTTTCGTAACTCGAAACATGACGCCACAAGTGGATTTATTTAATAAAAGACGCAAGGTGAAATTGCTGTGTGTTGATGGATGGTAATATTTTAGATAAAACTAACGTCTGTAAAATAATTAATTTCAATAAGACTTCTTGAGCAGAAAATAACGAGAAGAAATTATTTTTCCTTCTTTGCTGCAAACAATATTTCCCTTTAGTTTATTTAGTAGCTCCTACACCAATTCAAATTTGTACATTACTTTCATAACGTAAGAACAAGAGACAGCCATTTCTAAATAAATTTCCATCAAAAAATTAATGTGTTTTTATGGTTGTAATCAACTGCAAACTACTGATTTCCAAATCCAACATTTTTTACGTTACTCCTCCTTCTTTCTTTTGCGTTTCTCCTCCATTAATTTGCCTCTGTGCGCCAGACACTTCCTGCCCAAGAGAGTGACACTGATCAGAGAACTTCGGTAAGTCCTTGATGACACAAGTCGAAATCCCGTATCTACAAATATTCATGTCTGCCACCTGTTGCCTGCAATTTGAAATATTAAGAGTGAGGTCTGATTAGCATTACAAAGTCATTCGCCCTCTGATTTACCGCAAAGTCGTCCTGCCTCCTTTCATTCTACCCCCTTCCTCCCAAACATTTCTCGCGCGTTTACTCGAGGCCATGAGTAAGCAGGAAGAACCTCTGAAACGTCGGTCACTTTCTTCGACACTACAAGGCTCAGTATCAGCAAGATCGCGGTTATTTTGATCGGAAATGATTCACTTCCTAGAGTCAATTTGAATGTAAGTGCATTTATGTAAAACTATTAACAAGTTTCTCAAAAATAACCTTGTGAGTCGTAAAACGTTTTAACCTAAAAATATCCATGTCTGATTGGCTGACTCTGTCTTTTGGTAGAATGGGAAACTGCTTGAAGCTAAGGGCACAGCTTTCACCGAAATGTTTCGATCACTTCTGCGTTTAAGTTATCTGAATAGAAGTTCATGTTAGGGATCTCGGTCCACGTGTTTTCTACAGGGTCGTACTTTTCGGTACCGAGCTTGGATCTTAGACTCATGCACATAGAACACCGGCCAACGTGTTATTATAACATAATACATTTTATCACATCGAAGTGGAGGGAGAGGTTACCACTATTTTAAAACGCTCTCAAATGACTTGTGTTCTGCGCTAGCTACGATTAGTACATTTCATTAAACCATTACCCTCGGTCAGAATAATAAATTTAATCACACGCTTTCTTTGGAGAGATAAGCGCGTCTTGTTTGAGACATGCGTCCATGACAATATTTCCTTCTTTTAGCAATAAATTTTCAAAAACGTTTTTGTTTCATCAAAAATAATTCTGGAGAAGTTCTGGTGGACGCAAAACAGACACAAACCAAAATCAAATGAATTTCTGTGGGATATCTGGTTCTTCGACAAACAAGTGTGAATAAATTTATTTTCTGGGATGTTTTTGGAGCTCCTTACCAACTCAGTCTACAGATTTCTGGAGACTGCGTGATCAAACAGGCCATGAGACAGCTATTTTGAAATAAACTTCATTCAGAAATGGGAACATGACGCGGTAGGCGTCGTTAAACCTGAAACTGGGCTAACACTTTGACGAAAGCCGAAGATTATGGCGATTCTGATGTGCTTGAACGCCAGAAACGTCCTGCCCAAGAGAGTGCCACTGATCAAAGAAACTTAGTCAAAGAGCTTCTTGTTAATGCAGTCACAGCTTACGTCTGATTAGCATTTCCTACTCATTCGCCCTCTGCTTTAACCAATCAGATTGACCGAAACATCGCCCTGCCTCCTTTCATTCTACCCGCTTCCTCCCATCCGTTTTTCGCGCATTTATTCGAGGCGCTGAGTAATCAGTAAGAACCTCCGAAACGTCGCTCAGTTTCTACGACATTACATGGCGCAGGATCCACAAGATCGCGAATATCTTGACCAGAAATGATTCACTTCCTAGTGCTTTTTGAAAGTAATAGTTTGTGATGATACATCCCTGAACAATCATACAAAGAAACAAACAAACAAAGACACAAACCATCGATTTTCCTTGTCATTGAAACATGCGACGACGTTGTCATAATATCCACTGATGACGTAGATAATATCGTCGATCACTTCTGCGTTTAAGTAACCTGAATAGTAGTTCATGCCAGGGATCTCGGTCCACGTGTCTTCTGCAGGGTCATACTTTTCGGTACTGAGTTTTTCTGATGTCTCATTGCGACCTCCTGCACACACACACATTCAGTAACAGGTCAGAGGATATGAAAAACGCTGCCAAAAGGAACTTATTCTAACCCCATTCAGCGGGGCTTTCTTGATATTTAATACTGTTTCACCTGCCCACGAAATGTTTGTCTTTTATGGAGCCACAAGACTCATTACCTGACCTCATCTCACATAATCATGACAAACTAACTCTGTAAAGACAGGAGAAAAATTCTGTTCATAACATCTCGGTCACTCAAAAATACGAGGAAAATACTTCACAATATTGTATCACAAGTGGTATCTTTTCTTCAACATTACCAATTATAACTTCCAAGATGTTTGTATTTTTCGAAACTTCAATGCTTTAAACTCCGTCCGTCTTACCCGACGGACATCACGCTCTTAAAATTTGTAAATCCGTAAAAGGAACGAATGAATTATATACAACAAAGAAACTTCATTCAATTTTGCAGTGTTAATATTAGTAGCAGGAACGAAATTAAGGATGAAATATCTGAAATATTGTTTTAGTACTTGTAGCATCAGGAAATTGCGCCTGACATCTGTTTTCTGTAGCCTTCAATATGAACACAATATGCACTGTTACAGACTGCGAAGGGACTGCAACAATCCCTACTTAAATTTGTAAATCTATTAAGTCCCATTTCTTGTCACAGAAAGCGGCAAACTGAAATTTAATTGTTATAAGAACAATAATTACCTTTAAAACTGGGACTGCGTGACAAATGAGGTAATGCAGACAATCAGCGTGTCAGAGGAACGCGTTTAACTGATAAAATGTAATATAAACAGCATAAAGTGCTTAAATTAAAGCATAATGGAGATGATGGTACTACAAAGGCAGAAGACGACGCACAGGAACAGCTTACAAGAGCAGAAGAAACCATCACGCACTCAGAACTTCAAGCCGTCGCAGTCTGTGAAATAACGAAGTGCAGGCATCACTCAGAATGTCCAAAGTTCTCACCTATGGCGTACAGAAAGCCGTGGAACGCGACGCAAGAAAAATGCCTACGTCCAGAAAGCATTGGTGTAACGAACGTCCATCGGTCGGTGTCCGGGTCATAAACTTCCACCGAGTTTAGATAATTCTTACCATCTCTTCCACCAGCGACGTATATTTTGTCTGTAAAAACAAATTAGCCATATGACACAAACTGTACACACATTTGGTGTAGGCAAAGGCATTATACTGGTAAATGCAGAGCACAAACTTCAGCAATCAGTAATTAAATTTGAAAATCTATTAAGTCCCCCTTCGTGTCACAAAGTGCATTATATGTATTATATGAGAGCCAGTTTGACAGTTTCATAGTTTGATCGTTGTTTGCACTCAATCCTAGTGCACACTAAAAAGGCATAAGACGACGCACAGGGACAGCTTACGTGAGCAGAAGAAACCATCACGACTCAGAATTTCAACCCGTTGCAATCTGTGAAATAACGTAGTCCGTAGCACGGATGAAAGAATATGGGACAGTGGAATGAAGGAAACTAAGATTAAGAGCGAAGAGGAAGTTCGTCTGAAACGTCGGCAGAAGCCAAACGACAGGCAACTTCGTACTTCCCGCCGTGAGAACCTCAAATCCTGCGATTCCGGCAACACTTCTTGCGTTTTTACACGTGGGCAGACAGACAGAAGCCTCGCCTTCTGCAGTAATTCACAAATTTCTCTTTCACAGCATTTACGTACCATTCAGTACAGCCGCACTTCCTTTGTATCGCTCTCTGTTCATGGAAGAGATAAAAAACCAGTGGTTTGTCTTGCAGTCGTATCTTTCAGCCGTTCTGAGATCTTCACGATGCTCATGCTCGTAACCTCCCATGACGTAAACTGAACCTCGCAGAACTGCCACCATTAAACCCCATCTTAAATGAAAAAAGTACACGTTCTGCTATGCTCATTTATTACGATTCACATGCATTTCTTCTCGCAGAACGCAATTGTTCGCTCGCCATTGTTAAATCATAATTCAATTGAATTAACAAGCAAATCATATTCTTAAAACCAACTTTGTCGCAAAAGCCCTCCGACCTCTTCACACTTTGCACGATACTCCTTTATGTGAGTGGTTCAATTTTACAGCCCCTGCCCACATTTATATCTTGATTAACGGAGCGACTATCAGCTTTTTAGAAAGGACACTGTTCCAAGGAGTTCCTTAGTTACCAAGCTGCATCTTACCTTCGGGCATTCATAGGCGCCACCTCGCGGCATGTCTTCGTAGCAGCGTTAAAGCAGAAACATGAGCTTAATGATGTCCTGCCGTCAAAGCCACCGATGACGTAAATGTCGAAACCGACTACTGCCGTGCCATGGATTGCTCGCGGACCGATCGAATCGACCCTCTCCACCTGCAGGAACGACAGGTTATGTTTATATGTTTCTTTGGTTACTTAGACTACTGAAGTGAAGTCCTTACATTTGAGTCCAAGCGACCAACAACCGGAGCAGAGGTGCAACCCCCAAAAGTGAACCGAAATTGCTATACCGTGGTGGGTGGTACTCGACAAAGATCGTGAGAAATTAACTTGGTGTAATCGTGGAATTATGAGAGGCGGAGGAAACAGGAAGACCCGAAGAGAAGCTCTCGTCAAGT